AGATTTTCTTAGATATTAATACTTGATTTGTATTACTGGAAATATTGCTGGAGCTCTACTTGCCACTGCCAAGGGAGAATAAGGTGTAGTGCTTTAAATGATATTTAAGCTTCTATCTTCTCAGATGTAATTACAGTCTACCCTCATTTTCTCGATTCTTCTCCCAGCCTGTTCTGTTGAGAATGAAAAATATAAACTTGGGTGAATTCAGGCTAACACATAGGAACATCTAACACTGAAGAGATTTCTAGAGGAAGAAATGTCTGATTTTGTCTCCAAAGCAAGGAAACAATCACTTCCTCCATGTACTTATCTTCACTGTAGCATCCTGACACTTTTGTACTGGATCAGGGCTTTCCTGTGTATAGCACTGGCAGAAATGTGTGCTGGTGCTTATTTGGTGACAGTTGTGACTGCCAACTGGTATAGCAGTGTGTTAAAGCAATTGCAATCCTGCCACAGAGTGAAAAATAATAGTTCTTTCCTAAAGTATATTAGACCTACTTCTAATGTACCATATAGGAAAGATTTCATGGAAATAAATTATGTTGTTTTAATTTTCATACTGCTGCAGATGAAAAGAAAAAGAGGCATAGCATGAGGCTAGTTATAGCTGAGATTTCTTGAAGAAAAAAAAATTCATGTCTAAATTTGCATTGCTCCTATGGAAGGGGAAGGAAAACTGATAAGTCTAAAATTTAGAAAACCCTTTAAAACAGTATTTCAGCCCCTAATCAGTAGCGTTCTGACATGTGTTGGCAGGAATAGCATTGTTGAAGTGACAAAGAATCCGGAGTAAATCAAACAAACAGCATGAACTCCAACTATTGATCAAAATTCAGATTTTTTTGATTTCATGACCAAGCAATTGCATCACTATTCAAAGGGCTTATTCTTGTGTCATGTATGTTCCCTTAAGTAAATTAGCTCTGGGAACCCACTTGGGAGGAAAAAGGAAAAAAATAAAAAAACTTGACCAGAATATTGTTAGAAGATTTATCCAAAGTCAATATTTATGAAGTCATAACAGCCCGGGAGGAATCCATGCTGTTTCAGTACCACAAGCAGTGCCATTGCTTCTACAGTTTTTTAGAGTTTCACACCTCTGAATCAGCAAATAACTTCACAAAGGCAGCTAATGTGCCAGGGACTTGTCCAGCCCATGTGGTTCATATTCACTGCCCAGAAAGGTCAAAGCTCATACTCAAGAACAATTTCCTCAGTATCATCCTGTTATTCTCACACTGCTTAGAGGGCTCATTTGCAGAGCTCCAACACAGGGACAAATGCACAGATTCATGATGAGAGAGGAGATGTGGAGCAGGGAGTGCAGCATGTGGGTTCTTCCCCCCTCATCTTTGTGGTGCTGAATGGAGGTGGTTGTCCTGGCTTTGAGCTTCTTACTGGGAGCTTCTGGCCACATCTGTCCATGGCAGCAGGCAGCACTATGTGTTTGCACTGCAAGAACTGCTACTAATGCTTTCCTGTCAATAAGTCCCTGATGTAGGAGCATCTTGAGGGAATTGGGTGTTTGTAGCTACTCTTCAGCATATCCTATTCTTTGTCTCAGAGATGCTTTTCAGCTAGAATACTCAGTCAGCCAGGATGTTCACATTCTTAGTCATGGGTCTTTGTAATGATCCCTTTGCATGCAGAGGAAATAAAGATATCTTAGGCAAAGTTTGTTGGTGACTGAGCATCTGCGTTTCTAACCCGTGAAAAATACAGAAATCCATGATTATTTCTAAGTTCCAAGAGTTAGGTTTCTATCTCTTTTCCATGGCAGGATTAAGGCCTGCTGCCTAGCACAGTGCCTTGCTTTTTTGCTGCTTGTTTCTGAACACCTTGGGAACCCTTTGCTCCCACTTATCATGGCATATCTAGCTGTTCCCTTAAAGGGTTCTAAACAATGTTTTGGTCTAAATCTCCAATTGTTTAACAGTTTTTAATAGACCTACAGCTGTGCATGGCTATTTTCAGAAGAAGTTAGGTCTTAAACAAACAGTTCAGATCTCCCAGCTCTTGCAGTGGGCAGGTCCATTTGAAGAATGCTTCTCTGATGACAGACAGACTGCACCCAATATTGTGCCAAGTCACTCTCCATTTCTAAATATTAGAATGTGTTGTAGTTACAGATATAGTAAAAGAAAGAAGGTTTAAATTATACAGCTGAGAAACACCAAAGGAAAATAAATGTAAAACAGCACATGATGTGTGTGCTGTAGGTCTCCAGTCTTGCTATTAGATAGTAATGGTAAGAAACAAGCTAAAAAGATCACTCAGTTAAATGACCCTCATGTTTTCTTAAATGTCTATTTTTGCTTCACCTAAATCTGTGTAATCTTCTTCTCTTTCACTCATATTTTCTGTTGTGAATGTGTTTTAAAAGGAAACCTTAAGCAGGAAACATGTGTAGACAGGTTATTTGACATATGTTTCATAATACTAGCTCTAAAGTACTGAAGATAGTGATTAGCAAAAGGCAATGGAAGAAAGTAAAGAGTATGTCCACATAAAGACAGCTGGTGAGCAAAGGATGTGGTCTGTGCAGTTGTACATGACCTGGCTGGTGCTTAGCTGGAATCCAGAGGAGTCCTTCAGTGTGACCAAAGAGAAATACTTGGTATGGAGGAGGGAGGGGAAAGTCCTTTTGTTTGGCTAGAAAGTCAACTTGTCCTGCTGTGCTGTTGTGAAGCTCTCCTTAAGAAGGAGGCAGTGGTACTAGAGAGCAGAGCAGCTGCAGGTCCCGAGGAACTGCCATTCCTGGAACTTGCCCTCACATGCAAAGTACAGTAAGATTAAAACAGGCATGTTCTCCCATTTCTGTAACATGACTTAGTCATTCAAGAACTTTTATGCATCTTTGCTGTTCTCAGGCAAGGATCTGACAGGAGCTGCTGATCTAGCACTGGGGAAAGGCATGGATGAGGACAGAAACCAAGCTTTTCTGAACACGATTTGAGTGTAAGCTACAAAACACTGCTGCTGTTCTGGATACCTAAGCTGCAACTGAGTTAGCTACTATTATATTCCTTTGATGACATGTACTCTTTCTACTAAGGACTCCTGCTTAAAAAGTAACAGACCAAGAGGTGAAGAGAAAACTTGTAAATCTACTGTCTTTCTTTTTTTTCTATTTGTTTTTGGGTTTTGCAATAGTGATATTTTCCCCCAAAGATCTTTAATGCTTGTATAAAAGGCACTTTCCAAGGCTTAACCGTGCCACTGACCTGTGCTGGACATGTTGCAAATTGGACATTGTCTTCTGTATACTAGGCTGCAGATTTCTAACTCTTTGCAGTGTTGATGCCTGCTCTCATAAAGAGAAGGAAATGAAGCAGAAAGATCCCACTGCGACAATTAGTGGCTCACAGAGAAGTATTGAAACAAATAATAAGTGGCTGAAACAATTCAAGGGAGGGAAACTCTAGCTTCCTACTCTACCACAATCTAATCTTCTTTCTCAGATTCTCTCTTTCCTTATCCCAATGGGGATTTTCACACACTTTCATTCCCACTGAATGTTAGTGTGAAATGGTTCTTTGTGACCATCAAGCGGCAGTTTAGTCTTACAGTGCTCCTTACTCTCTCGTCTGTTGCCGGTCTTACCATTTTATGCTGTACCCTTGTCTGAATTTTTGAAGTAGCACTAATGTCTTGTTCCCAAGCTGCTGTAACACAAAGAATTTTAATGAAACTAATTGAAATAGATTCCTCCTCTTTCACTGAGGCAGCTGGCCAAAGAACTGGCTCATGGGCAGAGAAGTCTTTCAGCTTTGGAAGTAAAAATACTCCAGTACCCCTTGCATCTCAAAGGGGAATCTTTGCAACTTGCTGGGTGACTGGTGCTGGTGACTATCCCTGCCCTCATACGAAGAGACAAGCTGGGACTGAATCACCATGTGTGAAGAGATGATCAAGTGGGTTAATTCATGTGGTTCTGTGCAGATCTGGCACTCTGATGAATGTTCAGTGGTGGGCTTGGCAGTGGTGGGTTTACAGTTGGGAGTCAATGATCTTAGAGGTACTTTTCCAGCCTTAATGATTCTATGATTCCTGTTCTACACTCAGATCTTTCTTTGCTTGATGAGTTCATACATCCCTCAAAAGCAGTATTTTCTGCAGCATCTTTTGCTAGCAAATTAAAACTTTAAACAATCATTTCCTTTGTGAGTTACTGCAATTACATTTAATCTCCTAATGAATACTCATTTCTTTCAAACATTTATGTTTTGCTCTCTATTTAAAAGAAGGATGCCATTTCACATTCATGTCCATTTCTTAGAAGAAAGCAGCAAATAACCTGAGTTAAACCTGTGTGGTTTTCATCAGATAGCCACGTTCGTTAAGTGAGACCGTGAAAGATCTCAGATAACATTGCAGTACAATGAGGGGGCTCGTAGCTCTGCAGTTGTTCAGCGCAAATTGAGTGTCAGCTGTCTGCTGCACAGATAAGGTATGGGAAGGATTGCTCCTCACCCCCTCAGCAGCAGGACAACTTCCTCCTGCGCTGCTGGGAAAACACCATGCACCATGTTCTGAGCAGTTCAGCAGCAGCAAGGGGAGGAGGAGACACAGGGATGACAGACAGGACTCTGCATTAGCTCTTGGGAGGGAGCAATCACTCCAAAAATCAAATAGCAAGCAAGAGGGCAGTTAGGGAAATTAAAGGCAGCAAAAGAGATAGGGAGGGAAAACAGTGATAAGTGTATGTTTCTTGGCTTTTCAAAAGGCCTCCTTGTGTTCTCTGCTTTAATGTATTCTTCTGATGCTGGCTGTGCCCAGCTGAGCAGCCTTTGGCACCTCCAGAGTAGAGGCTAATGCTGTTCAGCTGCCCTTAATTTAGAACCAGTCTTCGTCCCCGAGGGCTGATAAAATTTGCTAGCTAATTTTCAGACTGGCACAGGTTAAGTAATCTTTCTCCAATATCGAGTTAGGAACTGTCTCATGCAGAGCATTCCCATCATGTAAACTGAGTACAGTTATTAATTAATTAATACCTTAGTACTTAGGTCTTTGCTCTTGAAAAGAACTCCTGTCTGTAGTCCATCTGGCTGCAGTTGTGTCTCTCCCCGAAGCAAACAGGAGTCATGCAATTGGCAGAGTAGGTGAAGTAGAATGTGTACTCTGAGCAGAGATTAGAACTAAAATACTGTAACGTGCCAGAGCTAGTCTTGCTCACATGCTACCTGGCTTAGCAATTAGTCACTTATTTATATACTTCATTAGGTCATAGTCAGAGCAGCACAGCATTTGCTTCCTGAGATTGTCTACCACTGCCAAACAGGCTTCAGTCTAAGTTCTGAAGCACAGGTAAAGTTCTACCTGATAACAAACCACCTCATAACTCAGGAGGGACTGGCAGAATTCTTTCTAGATTAAATCTATTGTTTCCAAACCCATTTTCTTCCTACAAATGAGACCTCTTGGAGGTAACATAGCTACTCTTCTCTTACTGTTATAATGCAGTTTTTATTTGCGTGTGAGAAATCGTTACCATACAGCTGTGTACAGCTGTGTTTTTGCAACCAAGATCTGCCATGATGCCTCTGAAACTGCTTGGGAGTACTGTGCTGTGGCAATTGCCTGGTGAACACACAGGAAAAAAAATGGGTTTTCAGCAGCAGACCTTTTGCTTAGAGCTTGTATCTATACATGAACTTAGGAATGGAGAAGGTTGTTTTTATGCAAAGAATAGCACAGTCAACACATCATCTTTTACTCTTTTTGTCTGGGTTCATGTGTAATGAAGCCCAAAATGTTGGCAAGAAAAAACAACCTGTTTTGCTGTGCTTTAAAATAAATACATTCACCTGGCTGGGCCAGTTCCAGCATCATCATAATAATAATAATAATAATAATAATAATAATAATAATAATAATAATAATAATAATAATAATAATAATTTTGTGGGGTTTTTTAAAGCATAAAACTAAATGTTGCAATGAACTGTTGCCAGTGACTATCTGGTTCTAAAGATTTAGAGCTCATGCTGGACACTTTATTGCTCTTTTCAGTGAAAATGCCCTTAGGGATCTTAGGTCCAGTACAGTTAATATTAGGCAGGAACAAAGACACAATTCCAGACTTTTTCCTCAGACGCTAACTCAAAAGTTACCAAGAGAAGATCCTCCTCATGGTTGCTTATCGGTGCTGTGCATTTCACAGTGCCAGTGTATCACTGTTATTGGCTCGGTTTCAGATCTCAGACATTTAAGCAAACACTGTCAGGAACACGTATTACTTTCTAGATGTCAGTATTTTTTCTGGAAGCAGATGGTCTTTCACCCAGCCAGTGAGTAGGGCGATGACAGTTGTCTCTCGCGTTTTCTTGTCCGAGGGCAGTAGTGTGGGGTGCCTTAGTGTCTTCGCCTCAGAGAGCGAAGGGTTGGAAGAGCTGCAAACGGCTGGAGTACAATGCACCCATTACCCGGCTCTGGCCGCGCAGAACGGCTGCGTTGGCGGAGCCGCGGCAGCCGCACCTGCCCAGCGGCTCTTGCAGAGGAGGGTGCGCGGCCAGTCCGGGGCAGCGCTGCGCTCCCTGACAGCCTGCGAGCGCCGCTCCCAGCGCGCGGGGCTACCCACGGGTGGGCACCTGCGCTCCCGGGCAGCGGGGGACCCGCGGGGCAGCCCCCAGGCAGGTCATTCGCACCCCCCCGCCGTCCGCGCACCGGCGGCGATGCCCCTGGACGGCGCGGGGCCCCTGGACGATGCGGTGCCCCTGCGCCTCCTCCTCGCAGGCTTCCCCGCGGGACATCGCCGCCGGAGCGCCGGCCCGCCGGGGGAAGGAGGGAGGGAGGGAGGGCTCGGGCGGGCGCGGGGCGGCCGGCAGGTGGCAGCAGCCGGCGCGCGGCTCCTGCGCGGGCGGCGGGCGGGAGCGAGGGGAGAGGCTGTGCCTGGACCCCGGAGCCGCCGGGAACCTGCTCGGGTCCTGCGGGGCTCCGGCATTCCCGGCCGAGGGCGCGCCGCCTCCCATGCGCCGGGGGCCGCGCGGCTCTCAGCCCTCTCGCCCCCGAGAGCGCCTCGTCGCGGGGCGCCCGGACGGGACGCCGGCGCGGAGCGGTGAGGCGAGGCAAGGCCCGGGAGGGTGGGCGCGCCAGGTGGGCGGTGGGCGCCGTGCCGGGGGCGTGGGCAGTGCCCGGGGCGGCGGCGCTCTGCCGCGGCGGAGCCCGAGGCCGCGCTGAGGGGCTGAGGGGCTGCTCCGCGCCGGGGGTGCGCCCGGAGCCGCGGCCCGCGGGCTCTCGCTCTGCCCCGGCTGCGGGAGCGCCTTCGGCTCCGCTCCGCGGGACTCTTGCGCCGCGTGTTTTGGCTGTGTAAGTAGCCATTTCAAAGCTGCTCTCCTCGCACGCTGGGTTTCCAGGAGCTGCATCCAGAGGCAGCGTAAGGAGCTGCTTCGTTTTGCCTCGGTGTCCCACCACAAGCCGTAGCTGCACGTAGCCTGAGCCGAATCCAGCAGTTTCTACGGCAGAGGGAAAGAAGCGGATAGCTCGCCTCGGGGAGAATGCGTGTTGCAATTGTTCTTGCTTCGGGCCAGATCTTTTGGTCTAAGCACAGCGTGCAGAGCGTGAACCGTGTGTGGCGTTCGGTGTTTCTCTTCACGCTTTCCTGCCCCTGGCTTTGTTACCATCTCTCCCTTAATTTCACCAACACTTGAGCTGTTTGTGCTCGGTTGTCAGGCTAGAGGATATGTGCTGTAGAGGAGAATCTTGAAATACCTTTTCTTCTTCAGCTGTGACTTTACATTTTTGCAACTGTCAGTGTGTCCACACCTGTGTGTTTTATACCTCTTGACACACTTGACATTAATTCATCCAAATTATTTTTTTCCAGATACATGAACAGTTTAGAGAGGCTGACAGTAGTGTGTTCTACAGGTTACTATGTTGTGTGGAAAACCGACTTCCTTTTGCTTCTTTTAATTTCTGTGCCTGATACTGTATGTACCTTATAAAATGAATTATGCTTGTTTTTGCTGACTATCTCTGTGCTATTTCAGAGCTGCGTTCTTTCATTATCTGTCTACCACAGCGATTCTTTATTTCAGGTTAAAGAATTCTTAGCTTTTTAGTCACCTTTTTTCTGTATCTCTTGCCACTGTAGTTTCTCTTTTGGTTGTTTTTCCATTTTTTCATGTTTTTTTAAAATCGAGAGATCAGCAAAACGGAGCCATATGCAAGATTTCAATACAACAGGGTTATATAAGGGCGTGATGATGTCTGCTAGAAGAAATGACAGATAATTTGGTGCATCAATATCTGATTAGCCATCAGAAGTAACAGAAGTATTTGTAACTCGATGTGTCACCTGTTGATAAATCAGTGTGATTTATTTTTTCAATGAGAAACCATTGTCTAAGGCACTAGTGGCTAGTAGTTTAATACAAAGGTATAAGGTTATGGATTAAATAGTTGCCTGATGAGCTCTTAATATTCTGTCAGTCTGCTGTGTATGTTTTTCCTGTCTTCTGTGGCAAGAGGAGGAACTGAAAATAGCCCAAATCTGTCTGTTTATTGCTGTTTGTGGAACTGCCAGTGTACTCTTAGAAAGTTGATCTACCAAGCTGTAGTTTGCCAACTTGGACATCTTTCTGGTGCAAACTTCGTATTAATCTAGTGGTTGATGTGATTTTCACCTATTCAGTTTAAAATGAAACTGGATACTGCTGAAATTCATTAGACACCTATAATTCTTGATGCTTTCTTCTCCATCACCAGGGAACTCCATTTCCAGAGAATTTAGTGGGAGAATGGAATTAAGTAGACTAGGAGGAGAGACTTGCCTTTCGACAAAAAAGTGCTGCAAAGTGAGCATTTTTAGCCAAGTTAGAAATATGGGGCCAGCAGGTGTGGATTGTCATAGGGAGTCCTTTGAAGTGAGAATAGGTAGAAAATATGGATTATTTATAATAATTTTGCCCTGAACATAACTTACCAGGTTTTATCAAAGAGCAGGGCTAACCCCAGGTCTTGCTGATAATGGCTTTAATCTGTAAAAGCTCCATTGTAATTGAAGAAGCAATTTGATTCCTTACTAACTCTCAGAAACACTTGGAGGTGTTGTATGGTGCAAGATTTCTGTCTTTCTGTATTTCATACAGCAGGCTCCTTCAGACCCCAGCAGATTTAATTGTAGAAAATTAATTAGGTTGCTCTCAGGCACTAATGGATTTTATGATCTCAGTACAAAATCTTTGGTTTTACTGTAGAACAAACTGAGCAACTGTGTTAGAAATGTGCATTAAATGAAGGCTGAAAACAAAACAAGAAAGCAGGATTATCTTGAAGACTCATACTGGCCTCAGTGTGAGGTTCTTTGCAGACAGTGACAGCAGAAAATCTGGGTTTCCACACTGCAGTCACAGTTCTCTGTGATGTGACATCAGATGTGTGATATTCAGACTGTTCACAGTGGCAGTTGTAGTAAAAACAGAAGTGCTGGTCAGACACTTAGTGGTAGTTGGGATTGTTTTTTATGTTGAAAATCAGGTTTATCATCTACAGTGAAGTGCAGCTATTGCAGACACTTCTGTGGGCTTTAAATTCTGTATGAGAGAAGTAAGGTTTGGTGGTTAAGCACTTAAAAAACCCAAGGAGCTCCAAAGTCAACCATGCATAAACAATTTTGGCTGTGTCCCCTGTAGTGTTGTATTATCATAGCAACCTTCAGGTTTGGAAGGTTGTTATTTTTTGCAAGTAGGAAAAAAATAAAAGAAAACTTACTGTGTCAAACCAACTTTTTAAAGAGTTTGGACCTTGATAATAGCCCTTTTACCACAATGTTGATAGGGAAAGCATTTTGTAGCTTTTAATTGTGAAATGCTTCCAGTGGTGACAGTGCTGGTTGAAGAATAGATTCTGTGACAAGGCTTGTTCCCTTGAGTAGGCACATACACAGTTCAGTTATTAGTTCTTGTGTTTTCAGGCAGCAACTCTACCTGATCTAAATGCAGTTTGGACTATGACTTGGGTAATTGTAAAGCTAATTAAGTTATGAATATATGACCAATGAACATGGTAGCATTGTTAGGAGGATAAGTAACAGTGTT